CGGCGAATATTCCGCGTACATTTTCACGTCTCCCTCACCCTGCTTCTCATCGCTGGTCCCCGCAAAGTGCAGAACAAACGACGGGGCTTGACAGTCGTGAGTGCGGCGTGCGTAACTCGATACTCTCGCGATATTTTCGACCCTTCGAGAGGAAATCGATATTAAAGAGCGACCAGCCGGAAGGGAAAATCAGAGGGGTTAGGGGGGGGGAAAGAGAAGAGACGACGAGAGAGAGGGTAAAGAGATGGCGCGAAATTGAAATTGCGGGGGTAAAGCGAGAACAGAGCTGCGGACGGCGAGGGAGAGGCAGGGGACATGTGCCGGCGGGAAAATTGAGCGTTTCACCTGCACAGATTCCATAATTAAAATCAGTCGGTATCCGCTCGTCATTGTCCGCACCACGCGGATGTTCATCCCTCCTCGTGCAACCCCCTTCCCGCCGCTCCGCCTTCTCCCTCAGATCACTGTCACCCTTCCGTCCGCGTTTGACGTCTCTCGTGCATTTTTGCGTTATTTAACGAGAAAACTTTTCAAATCGCATTCGCTGACCCTCGCGCGACCCACGTATCGCCGATGTCGCGTTCCCTACAATTGTCCCGCCCCCTTCGTTTCGCCCGCGAGAGGATCCGCGAGTCGCAAGCGCCGGCGGAGCGATACTCTCGAAGTTATGATCGTTGAATAATGCTGTATTTGTTTCATTTCTACGCGACAGTTTCAACAATTGCAAAATTGTTACTGAAAAAAAGGGATTTATCTTTAAAGCTTTAACAACAGTTAGCTTCAACAGAACGTAACATTTAATTTTATTAAAAATTCAATCATTTCAGCGCGTTTCCTTTATTTGTTAATAACGATCGTGTAAAAAATTTTATATTTGCCCCCGTCGTATTATTATCATAGAAGGCAAACAAATTTCCTGAATGGTGACCCATGTCACTTTAAAATTCTATTTCTCTCTTGTGCTTTTTGCTATACGTAAGGGGCATGATATTCCAAGAAACGCGCTCAAGGATGCATCCTTCAATCGACTGGAAATACGAAACTCCTGGTATTTAAGTGACATCCTTACGGAGCAAGCGGATGGTAGAGAATTGGCAGAGGGATGCAGGATGAAGAAAACGCAGGAGAAAGGACAAAGTTCCCACCGGATTGGAGCGGAGCTCTCAAAGTGGCTCGACGGCTCGTTATAAATTGTCGCAGAGTCGGCTCGTGATAGGGCGCGGAATCGCACAGGGATGGGCGATTGGGTATAAGTTCGACGATCGCGGCGAGTTCCTTCCGATGGAACAAATTAATTCCGCGAAGAACAAAGACGACGTAGAATGACTCTGCCATTTGAAGTTGGCAAATCGTATTTTGATAACGCCGCCAGAGATTGAGAATTTAATCGGAAATATATCCAGATCGACATTGTCGGAACAATATAATTTAAGGCTAAGCAAAGCCGGTAATCAAAATTAATCAAAATAATGTCAGATTGATATTTGAAAAATTGTACAAAATTGAAGAATTCACGACTTTTTAGAAAAAATACAATTTTTATATTAGACGAAAATTACAAGGTCTGTAAAGTTGGTAACCTGAAATGCGAATTTTTATCAAACTTATGCGGCACTGACCACAATTTCATCATATTTATTAATATATAATGTTTTTGTCCATCCTGCAAAGAAAAATTATACACAAGCAAAAAAATTGTGGAGTTGTATAAGTTTGGTAAAATATCACATTTCGAGGTGCCAGCTTCGCAGATCTAAAAGCACATAATGCAGCGGGGAATTTAATAAAAGTCCGGCCGAGATCGCGAGAAGACCGGATGCAACTCACCCTTCGAAGGACTGAAGGATAGAGCTGAAGGACTCTGGTTTCACTTTAATTCCTAACCCTCCCTCCGTCCTTCTCTCTCGCCTTTCAGTAATGCCACTATTCGGAGAAATCTCCCCTTTGTCTCGCCTTCCGCGGCTCGTCAAAAATTAATTCCTAATCGAGTTAGCTCTCTTTCCCGGCGCAGAACTCGTTAAGGAAGTTGCATCGTCCTTTGTGCGACGCTCCACCACCCTCACTGCTCTGTCGACTCCATTCCCTCCGTTCCACCACCGTTCTCAATATCTTGCCGCCTCGCAGCCCTAATCGCGTTGAGATAAAAAAGTTGGCGATGCCACAGGCAAAAGAAATTATCGCGGTTCTGTTTGTGCGAACTTTTCCATAAAGCGAGCCCGCGCGCAGCGTTGCCGGCAGCGACCGGCGCTGTGACGTTTGTTCTCAAGAGCGAAGAAGCGCCCGCGATCTTATCGTCGACGGTGCACTTCTTCCCCGAAGAATAGATCGGTTTATTTGTTTTTCCCCGTGGAGAAGTTTCGGTACACAGTCTCGATATTTATAGAGCCGCGGAACTGTCGGATGTAATAGCATAATTTATTGGCGATTTTATCGCCAATGGCAAAGTTGAACTTTTCTCCTCGGATATTGCGAAAAAGTGGATAATGTTGCGCTACGTAGGATAATGTTCTTATTTTGCGCCGGATTTTGGAATGTCATCTATAGCTTAGAGATTATATCACTCCTAAGTTAAATATTCCTAGTTCCTATTAAGGGATTTAAATTCGTAACACAAGTTTCAATTATAATGTACAAAAAATTAATCTGCGCTGCAAGAAAGCGTGTTTCTGATAGATTTAGCTGGACTCTGTTTTTAGTGCGAGATAAGTAACTGGTTAAATATTTCGCAGCAATCTCATAATTTATTGCTCATCGCATATGTGATGCACAAAAACATCACAAGTTCTCCTGTAATAACAAAAAGTGAATGTATCACAGTGAAGCCAAAATAACGGCTTTGGTGCAAAATAGAGTCCGGAATATACATAATTTACACCGAAACTTCAAATTACGTTCGCAAGAGTTTCATAAACTGAAATTTAAATAAAATTAAATACACGCTTCTAAAGGTAAAAAGAAAATTTGAAAAGCATACAAAATAAGCAAATAGGAAATATAATTGTTATTCTAAGGTAATAAAATAAATATTATTATTAGATTACTATAAGAAATTATTAAAAAATCTAACGTAATAATGCAAAGCTACAGTTGTCGCAAAATGTTTGTTGCGAAACGAATAATCTGGCACGAATTAGAGAACTTTTATCCTAGTCGTTATAAAATAATTGGCACGTGTTTATAAATGATAGCGCAAAATTTGCGAAGCCGTTAAGAAAATAGCAATCTGAGAAAAAGGATTAATTATACATGTATGTTAAGGGTTTCGCGGCGCGGGTATAGTCGATTTCCATCCGCCGGAAATGGCGTGTCTCTTCCTCCTTCAGCAGAGTAATACTATTACATGAAAGGCCGGCGGCTCCGCGCGGAACTTTTAAGTCACTTTTAATGTAAAGTCGGCTGCGCCGCTGCGCAAACTACTTTCCGCCGAGTACTATTTTCCCCGGCGCTCTTTAAACAAATTTTTAGCCATCAACGAGAACCACCGACTCGGCGCTGAAAATTTCCTGAGATCACGCGCGGTACGCAATTTACAGCTATCGATCAGACTGCTATTTTCATTATAATTTTTACGTTAAAACAATCGTTACTGCATTACAAGTATTGCGCATTGTGAAATATTTCTCAATAAAAAAAAAACAATGAAATTCTATTCTAATATTAATTTTCAAATTTTATTTTTTTTAAACAAAGATCTCAATAAACTTTTCAATAGCTATCAAGCATCGTAAAATGTTATTATCGTCATCGCATTAATTGTATTCTTCTTTTTACGTAAAATTGAGGTAAAAGTGTGTCTAGACACGATGTTAGACACGAAAATCTCTATTTCCATCGCTAAATCATCCGTATTCCTACTTCCAGAACACCGTCAAGGGAAAAGAGAGAAAGGGATATCGCCCCATAAGTATCACGCGACCCACATGATGGCAACATGCGAGCGCATCCATTTCAGGGTCAGCGGGTAATCCCCAAAGGTGATTGATCTGACCTGGCCATGAAAGTGCGAAGGTGCGCGAAAGGTAGAAAGGGGAATATATAGATCCAGCGTTAAATACGGCGTACAGAAATATATGCTTCTAAATTGGCGTCGAAAGACATGCAACCAGTTGATTGGAAATTTGATTTTAATACTTTCACGACTGTATATATTCGACTCTGCTCAACACTTGGAGAGCCGCTCTATTATATTAAACTGATGTAAAATCCGACATTTCATATGCGAAGAAAATTTTATATCAAAAGTTACTATGTACGACAGTAACCGTGGATCAGGAAGAAGTTATAAAAATTTTTACTATGTTTTTCACATGTAAAACATAGTAAAAATTTTCAGTCCGCGGCTACTGCCGTACATAGTAAGTTTTGACATAAAATTTTCTCCGTGTATTACACGACCTAATACAATAATGCAAAAAAACAGTAAAATTACGTGACCGGCCGCGAAAGTGTTGACGGACTTTCTAATCCGAGATCTGTGCACCAAATTACAGACACTCGTAAATCGCGTCACGAAAGTCGGTGTTTAAGTCGACAAAAAATAAAAGCGAATTTGTATGCATTTTTGATCTTTGGTTTGTATTTTCGCGCGTATTGAAAATTATTTTATCTAAATACGAGACGTGTTTACTCATCGATTTCAATTTGATACCAATTGCGGTGTCCAAGATATTTAATATCATTGGCCGAAAATATTCGACACTGTTAATCGGATACTGATTAAATAACAGCGTATGAAATCATAAACATATCATTAATTCGCCAATATTTCCATGTAAAATGAATTAGCGCCGCGGGGTGGAAGAAAGACAGAAAAGGGCGGAGGCAGGGCAAAAACTCGTAATGCTAACGAGCTGGCAATTCGATCCTGCAACAGGGCCCAAGGGGCTGACGCAAAGTTCTCTCTGCTCCTTGCGCACCGGTTTTCTTTTTCGACCCCACCCTCGCAATGTTTCTATCTCTCTTTTCGGGGCGATTCGGCACGCTCGATTTAATTCACTCACCGTGAAGAGCCTTCAGATATGCCTTTCCCGCGTTGATCAGCTGCCTGGCGCCAGGATTAAACTTGTCCAGAATATTCTGAAATAACAAAAGAAAAGCGTGTCATGAATTGCGCTCGACAATATTGGCAAAAAACTGTTACAATTTAAAAACAACGAATTTCTTATTTCACATCAAATAAATGAATTTGGATTTTACGTAAAGTTGCAATGTTGCAAATTAATATGAGTTTCTATCGGAGAAATATTCGTAGCTGATATCTTTTTTCTGATCGATAAAAAAAAGAGAGAAAAAACTTTTATAGACATGAACATTCTCTGAAATTAACTGCAAGAAATGAAATAGCAATTACGAAATTGCAAACGCCAGAATGAGTTCCGTAGCGCAATGATCACAGCACTATTTTTGCTATAGTTTTAGCCGAATAACTTCTAAGCCGTTCGGTAAATTCGCAGGAATTTTTGTATTAATATTTATTAAAATTTATTCAATATTTGTAGAATTTTTCATCTACAATATTTTTTCAAATTTGTCGATAAGTATACATAACTTTTCACGAATCAATGCAAATGTAAAAATTAAATAACTTTTAACTGACCAGAGAATCATGTTTAACTTTTGCGCAAATATTCGCAATTAGTAAAAATATTCAAATTCAATAAATATTTAAAAATAGTAAAACAAGTTATGATATTTTTGCGATTTTAATACACGACAAGCATCCTTAAACTAACGTCAAACGTTAAAATTTCGAAGTACAAGTTTATTTTTTGCACTGTCGACAAGTTCGACGTTATTAATACAGAAATTATACGGACAACTTTATTATATTAGCGAATGCATAAATTGTTTGCCGGTAGACAATTAATAACAGAGCTACATGGATAAATAATTCAACAAAATGGATCAAATAGACAATAATTACTTTATGGCAGGACTTTGGCAAACGCATCACAGAAATATTTCGTGATAGAAATGCTTTAGCGAGCGCTTTTAATGACAGAAATGCTTTGTTGCATTAGAAGACGCATGAATTATTTGCCAACGGATAATTGGCGATAATAGCGCGAATTAATGGCGGAATATTCTGGAAATGTAATTATCTCTTCAAAACCGGTGTGTGTACTCAGTTTTATCGATGGAAAAGTTATAATAGACTTTATTGCCACACAGTGAATACGGAAACTGATTTGATAGCGGATAACTGCTACTGATAGCATAAATTGGATATCAAAGTTCAAGCACTGTACGCGAAACTTAAATGCAAGATTCGACAGTTCGAAGAATCACGAGCACACACAATCGAATTCCTTAAATTTGTTTATCCAAAAAAATCCCAATTTCAGGGAAAAAATGTCTAAAGCGTGAACAGTAGGAAAATTTCCGCTATTTTTCCTAATTTAAAAACATTTATGCCAACGAAATGTACAAAACTTTAATCGCTAAACATTCGAAACTGGCGCAAAGTTTTCCCGCGAGTTTTCGACCCTCCTCGACGTTCCAATTCAAGAAATTCTAAATACACAAACCCTACTGCGCCCAAGACAAATCCCAAAATCTCGGTTAAGTCGACTTAACTGAAGTTAGGATCAATGTTTTCCCGAACCGTACACAAAAACATGCCGGGGATCGTCCGTCGATTGCTCAAGGCAGCTTCCGCCATGTTGCCGGCGTCACGGCAAGTCAGGCGTCGTTCCGGAAGCGGAATCTGGTTTGGGGTTTCCTTTCCTTTCGGCGCGGCGCGTCGCCGTTGCCGTCGAAGTTAAGGTGGCACTCACGAGGCGTAACTCCGCTGATGCGGTTACGATGTATCGATCTCGGTAAGAGCGTGACGGCTAAATTAAACTCGGCTCACCCCTCCCTCGACCTTCGGTATTGCCCCCGGGCCGACGGGTTCCGCCAGCGTCAGGTGCGTCGGAAGGTAACGACGCCGTCGTTCGATTCGATAGCGCGCCAATTATTTCCGCGTTTCCGCCTGGAAATTCGCGCGCGCCGTTGCTCCCGCCGTCGTGACGATCGCGATCGAATTCGTTCCTCAAAAAACCACGATCACTTGATTAACGCTCGTGAAATCAATATTCTACGTCGCGACCAATACTTCATCGTTCAGTGCAGAAGCATATCAGAGCCAAGCCGCACTTGGCAGCGCGTATGAATAATATCAGAAATTAATCTGAGGCTGTGAAGACTCCATTTACATTCCGATGGAATGTCGATTCGAAATTATAAAACTGTTACTCGCAAACGAAAGAAAAAAATTAACAAGATTTATTATATTTGATTGCATTCCCCAACGTTTGTTTCAACATTAAATCACAATAATAAAAATAATAACGGTAATATTACCGTCGGTTAATTAATTATTCCACGCGAGAACCAAGACTTTAGGTGTCTACGCTGCGGCACGCCGTACAGTCGGCCGCATATTCTTACGCAACTCGGAGCGAACGCCGCGGGGCAAAATTGCCGCTGTCGTGAAAGAATGTGTTCACGAGGTGAACGAACGATATCGAGAATCGACTCGGCTCCGTGTGTCGAGAGATGGATATCTCGCGATATGCGCGCGTAGGTACACGGCTTGTACAATAAGTATTCAGGCTGCTTCAATAAAAATTCAAAATTTTCGGATAGACATTTGTATTTATATTAGTCGCCAACGTACATTTCTCGGAATACATAATTTTGATTATTCACGTGAATGCTGAGACTCGGAAATCTTGTTATTGAAACACGGTTGGGCGGTCTCGTCACTTCCGCTCGAATGTCTGAAACGCTGTCATACCGCTTCTCTTTCACGGCTATTTTCAATTTGGGAAACAGAAAACGTTTCACCGACGTATTTGCTGGGCTTCGTCCCGGCGGACTTTTTTTCCTTCTGTTTCCCAAATTGAAAATGAAATAGAAGCGGTACGACAGTGTTTCGGACGTTCAGGCAAAAGTGATGACGTGAGACGCGCAATTTCACAACGAGACTTCCAAACCAGCTTTTCGACACTCCGCGTAAAACAAATATAAATAAAAATTCTTATCTGAAAAAAGGGTTTTATTCACAGGTAATCCGAGAGAACGTTGTATGCATATCAAAGATCAGGCCAGTCGAGTCGCGTGCCTGGACTCAACGATGCGTTATGCAACGTGGATAAACGCTGGCACTCGCCAGCGTAATTTTCTCAAGCGCGATTTTTCCGAATTCCGACGCGACACGCCGCGAAAGGACGTCGCAATTGCGCATGTATTATCGATCATTCGCGCTTTTTTTGCACAAGCAATTTTTATAATTTCACCTTTCGTTATTTACGTCGCTCATATTATTTACGTTACCGCGCTTCATTTACGTCATCCGCTTGCCATTCACATCACCCGCGCGTTTATTTATCCCAGTTATATTTCGCCTCTAATATTTACGGCGTCTGCCATTCATTATTTTATCGCGAAAATTCCCCCGATCTCTAACGCCCGGATTATGACTCAAAGTGCGCGCCATAAATCGCGGCGGTTCGATTTGTTTTTTTCGAGATTTACGGCGAAGTAAAAAGTGTCGTCGCCGGGGACCGAAAGTTCGTGCCGCGATCGATAAAAGGCCGCGGTAAATTTAGTCGGCCGATTCCGTTACAGTTCGCATAACTGGGCACTGCGAGCGAAATGGACGCAGCCCTCTCTAACATCTCTTATTGGCGTACGGCCACTTCGAAGCGAAGAAGGGAGAAGGAGAGACAGAAAACCGGAGATAAAGTCGAAGCCGATGAATGTCGACTAACGGGATAGCGTTGCATGAATTTAGCGTGCGTGTCCGCCGCGCGCAAACATCCGCGTGCGGACTCTCCTCGTCTTGCTCAATGGCCACTCCTGTTTAGTCGTTAAAATCTATTTTCCGCAGATAGTTAGCATTCCTCACGTGTGGTTGCGCGATAACGAGGTGTATCGTCATGTATGATGACTATGGTAATGCTGCAATCGAATTCTTTTTAACAATTCGCGAAACGAAATTCTTCACGAAATTTATGAAGCAATATTTTCAACTTGTACATTTTGATGCAACATTCGATATTATATATCTTGATGAAATCTCTAAGTTAAAAAAAAGTTTTTTTAGTTTTCCGATTTTTAAATAAAAAATGAAATACTTTTTAATAAATGCACCTGTTCTGAATTTGAAAGAAAATGCTAATTTTGTTCAGGGAACTCTTTCAAGAAATATTCATAGAGAGAGAGCAAAAAAGAAAAAGAAAGCCATTCGAGTTTCGAGCATTAAATTTACAAAATATTGGCAAGAAGTGAAGAGCTGATCAGCCAGCCGCAAATTAAAAACAGAATCTCCGGAGAGACATGCTCGACGGAAATTCTCCGCGTACCGATGACATTCCTTCAGAATTCCCTGATTTCTTCGAGCAGAAACAAATTCTTGGAGAATTTTCTAGGTTTTTCCAGATAGTAAACACTGCGACAGCTAAACCCCTTCGATCAGAAATTTGCCGGAAGGAAGATGCGCTTGTGCAAAATTAAATGTTTACCGAACAAATAATAATTATTGCAGATTACGAGACAATGCAATTTAATATCAGTAATTTATCTCTTGTCAAAACACTCGTGAGAACAATCGACTACCGCGCGATAGTAGCTCTGAGCAACCATTTATTTCCGTCTTCATTCAGAGAAACGAAAGAGACTGAGAAAGGGACAGAGAAAGATGCAGGTTCGCTGGACGACCCGGTGACCTCCTCAGCGAGGAGGATTTACCGGTGGATGGTCTTGCCCAGGGATCCTCTCGAGGCGCGGATTCTGTGGTCGTAATTCACCGCGGTTACCGTTAAACGGGGAAAGAGCCTAACTGCTGCGGTGAGAGAGAGAGAGAGA